TCAGCGAAACTGATCACGAAGATGCAGAAAGGTCATTGAACTTACCAATTCAAGAAGCGAGTAGGGAATAAGCAAGTGTAGGAGATATGCCAAAGAAAATCTGGCTTATGAGGTATCAAAATGAAGCTTCCAACAACCAAATACTCAAAAGGAAACATCCGGAAAATACGACTCATACAGGTGAGAAGCGGTTCAAATGCGAAATATCCAAGATTTCGGTGTGCCATCAAGCACACATATGATGAATCATACTGGTGAGAAATGCTGCACCGAGCACACATACGATGAATCATGCAAATGAGAAGCCGTTTCCTTGTTCGGAATGCAACATGAGTTTCATCTGGCCATCGCTTCTGAATATGCATAAGAAAATTCATACCAGTGAATGTGGGATGAATTTCACCCATCCATGGGGTTTGAATACACATAAGCGGATTCATACCGGTAGAAACCGTATTCTTGTCTGGAATGTGGGGAGAATTTCACCCAGTCACCGGGTCTGTATATTCTTAAGCAAATTCATAACGGTGAGAAGTACTCTTGTCTGAAATGTAACAAAAGCTCCCAATCAAGGAATATGAGACAACACATAACAAGATTCATGATAATATAGGCCAGGTTCAATTGAACTGCATGCGGTAGGAATGTGGAAATTCTGTGGAAATTGTCTTGATGGCTGATGGACGCATTTTGAACCGATATGCGCATTGCAATTATGTCGTATTTTCTATAAGTATATCTCAAAACTTTTTTCTAGGCCTAACAGAAGGTGATTTGCATTTGGAACATTTTTCAACAAATATGAGTTTATCATATCGGTAGTATATTTTTAAAAAATAGAAAAAAAATGGATTTTGCGGACATTTTTCAGTTACATATCTCGTCTTACTTTTAAGAATGGTAATTTTGCCAACAATAATTTCTGGAAAAAAGAATTGAAGCGAAATGTAATAAAATTGGGAAAAATATTGCAGCAGCTTTGCATAAATTATTTTTCACAATGCAGTATGACAGCTGAAATGAAATTATTCATAAAAGATTAAAGTATAAAGGATTAAGAGTGATTTCTATTATTACATTACCATAGGTTATCGATATACGTGCTAGCCACTCCCATCTAAATTGACATTTATAGACCTCATCTCCTACCATTACCCAACAGAAATGTTCGGTAGTGTCTGTCAAACAATCTTCCGTGAAATTGCGTTTAGTAAGTTCTATTTCATGTATTTCGACAGAGAATGTCAGCAATTTTTCAAAATTTTGCGTCATGCAATTTAAGCCTCCAAGACGAGCACTCCCTTTTTTCGAAACAGAATTACCTTTGTATCAAATTAGTAACTATGCAAGTTCTAATGAAATCTGCTGTGGAAAACTTGCAGTCAATGTCCAATATGAAAAGGTTGTTGTGCCAGATGCTTGAATGCGAGATGTTTGTATTATACCCGCAATGAATGCGTGCCGATCTCTTTTCAATGCTAACATATTTAGAAAAGTATGTACTTGTTTTGCACAATTGCCAAACAGCAGGCGGTGTTGTTTCTCATATGCAATCGTTCTTCAGTGCACTGTTAAATTTGAATATTTTTCAGAATTGGCAAGATATTACTCTTATCAATATGCATTTCAACTGTTTCATCTTCTTCCTTTTTCATCTGCGCAACACTCAAGCTATCGTAAGTTCATTTAAAGTAGAAGTAGAGCTGAAATATATTAAGATTTTTGCGCAGCATAAGGTTCATAATTTCATATGTTTGAGGAACCACAAACAGAACCGCTGGATTTAACAATGTCAAAAATGTGTGGTGGACGGATTGAACCACCAGATGCATCAATAGTAGAAGCGAGTGGGAGACAAGCGGATCACGAAGATGCAAGGTCATTGAACATACCAATTCAAGAAGCGAGTAGGGAACAGACAGCTGTAGGAGATATGCCAAAGAAAATCTGGCTTATGAGGTATCAAAATGAAACATCCAACACCCAAGCATTCAAAAGACAACATTCCAAAAAAAACAAAGGAAACATTCACAAAATGCGACTCAGACAGGTAAGAAGCGGCTCAAATGCGAAATATCCAAGAAGGATTTCGTTGCTCCACCGAGCACACATACGATGAATCATGCAAATGAGAAGCCGTTCCCTTGTTCGGAATGCAACATGAGTTTCATCTGGCCATCGCATCTGAATAGATATGATGATTCATACCGGTGAAAAGCCGTATTCTTGTTCGGAATGTGGGAAGAACTTCATCCAGTTATCGCATCTAAACCAACATTTGAACATTCATACCAGTGAGAAACCGCACTCTTGTTCGGAATGTGGGAAGAATTTCACCCTTTCATGTACTTTGAGTCAACATATGAAGATTCATACGAATGAGAAACCGTTCTCTTGTTTGGAGTGCAACATGAGTTTCATCGGGCCATCGCATCTGAATAGACATATGAAGATTCATATCGTAAGAAGCCATATTCTTGTTCGGAATGTGGGAAGAATTTCGCCCAGTCATCGAATCTGCGTATACATAAGCAAATTCATATCGGTGAGAAGTGCCCTTGCCTGAAATGTAACAAAAGCTTCTCTCCCATGCAGGGAATATGAGAAGACACATGAAGATTCATGGCAATGCAGGGCGATGAATGCGAATATATGATGAGCAGGTAACCTGCATGCCATGCATGAAGAACTTGCAATTGAGTTACTAAATTACTGATGAAATGAATTGTCTTAAGTGGATCCCTCACTCGATTATTGCACAAACAACACTGAAGTAAAATTTTGGCAACGAAAAGTCTTTTTCTTAATCACAACAGTTGAGATCTCCCATCATTTCATAGGATTACCTATCCATTTCGTTTGTCAGTTCATAGTTAACTTGCAAAGTTTCGTTAAGGACAATAGGCATTTCATCTTCATCATCTTCATCATTTCAAAATGTGGAAATAAATTTAAGAAGCAAATATTAGTTTCACTGGAATTGCTCTAATTAATTTCAAATCAACTATTACTGTCGGAAAATCAATATTAAAATCATATAAATGCCCAATTCTGCTCTCCTTCAAGTATTTTTCACTGAAATTTAAATCTTATTGGACAATGGTACAACTTCGATCGGTCTTGGAAGCAATGAAATTACCACAAAAACAAAATTACCGGTATCAAGTATTGGACTTCTTTCATTTTAATATTATGCCGGACATATTTGTATAACACATCTACATGAATTATTTTTCCCAATGCAATATGACAGCTGAAATGAAATTATTCAGTATAAAGTATTGAAGACTGATTGCATTGTCACATCATTGCACGTCAACGCAGGTCATCAATAGCGTTTTTGCATTTTTGACCGATGTGTTGTCAATCGGATATATTGTTTACTGTCAAAAATCACTAATCATGTTGTTCGCTAATGAATACACATAAAAATTCTCATCCAAGTATTTCGATTAATGCGAATGCCACCATTTGTAAAACTACTGCTGATAGTAATGCTTGTATTACTGATACTGCTAATTGTATTGAAACTTGTAGCATTGAATATTATGTTGAAACCATTACATTGAAACACCTTAGACTTGTCACCGATTTGGCACTTTCGTTGAATGCAAATCAACTATTCTGCAATTCAGGGGTATGAGACTGTAGTTGGGATGGATTATTGATTGAATGAAATGTTACTTGCAAATGGAACTGTGAGTTGACAAACGAAAGGGATGGGTAACCCTATGAAGTGATGGGAGACTTCAAGTGCTGTGATTAAGAAAAGTCTTTTTGTTGCCAAAAATTTTTTTCCATGTTGTCTCTCCGGTATAAATATGCATATGCTTAGATGCTTAGACACACCTGATGTATGGGTGAAATTCTTCCCACATTCCGAACAGGAATACGGCTCCTTCCCGGTATGAATTTTCTCATGTGTGCGCAGATTCGATAACTGGGCGAAATTCTTCCCACATTCCGGACAAGAATATTTCTCATTTCTCACCGGTATGAATCTTCGTATGTCTATTCAGATGTGATGGCCAGATGAAACTCGTGTTGCATTCCGAACAAGGGAACAGTTTCTCATTCCTATGATTCATCGCATGTGTGCTCGATGGAGCAACGAAATCCTTCTTGGATCACTCGATTATTACACAAACAACATGGAAGC